GCTACTAGTAGCTTCTTGTTACTAGTAGCGATGGCCTCCAACCTACTGTAATCGCGATGGCCTCCAATCTAATAGCGTCATTGCTACTGCTAAAAAGTGTCAGAAAGGTCTACAGTCGATTCAGCAAAGGGTCTCTTCACATCTCACAGACGTGCAAGCGTCTGCAGTACAAGCGGTGCAAATACCGTGAGGCACCCAGGGACATTGCATCTCACAGCCATTCGCCATGCTCTGGTCCTGCAAGAAAATGTTTGGAAGAGAGCCAATTAGCAAACAACAAACAAAAGTAACAGGAAAAATGCAAAAAGAAACGAACGAGAACTGCTGAGCGAGGCAGACGCCGAGCGGGTCTTGTTTCATGTGTCCTTGTCAAACCAATTCTTTTCACATGTAAACCTCACAGATGTTCAGGGGAAAAAACACACCGACAAAAACAAAAGCACCAACTACTTCAGCGTTCTTATTCCGAAAGCATGACTACACATGTGGTCTTCCAAACTGCAAAAAACAAGTTCTGTGCTTTGGGGATTTTCAGGTGGCGCGGGAAAAGAACGAGCTGGTGCCCCTGGGAATGTGTTCACGTCTGCTCATCCGTTATTCGTTTTGAGAGATGTTCGGAAAAACTTGGAAAAAAAACAATATCAAAGCAAGGCCACCTTTTGCAGGTAGGTTGGAGGCCATCACTATTCAAAAGAAGATGGTTCTTTGACCTCGACTTGTGCCACTTGCACTCAGGCTGCAACTCAAAGCAAGTCGAGACATCACACCTGGCAGGGTCGAGACATCACGCGGCAGGCGTCAGAAGCATTGCTCCCAGTAGCGTCCTCTTGTTACTAGTAGTAAGGCCCTTTGCCCCTAGTAGCGTCCTTGCTCCTAGCGATGCCAGGAGACCCTAGTAGCTTCTTGTTCCTAGTAGCATCGGTCTCCCTGCAAAGCATGAAGCATGTCCCTTTTTTGCATGTTTCCCCTTAGAAAGATGCTGCCTTTGTTTCATTTCCTGTTGCAGAGTCCAGACTTGCCAAAAAGGAGAACCAATTATTGTAATCATGTTCAGCTTTGGTCCCTTAGGGTGGAGGCCATCGCTAGTAGGTTGGAGGCCATTGCTATTCATCCACTGTGTATCACTTTCCCTTTCTCTCTAGTCTCATACCCCACCTTTTGCAAGTTGCATGCGGCAGCAAGGGACATTGAAGCTCACAGCCGTTGCTGACTTTCCCATCGGCATCAACATAACCTCCGCAACACTTGCAGTTCAAGCTTGCTCTCGTCACACTTTGGCCCAAGGTGATGTTATCAATCAATATGGTATTGGTTCTTGTTACCGTCGTCATTAAGGCCAGGAGCCCCTAGTAGCTTCTTGTTAGCGATGCCAGGAGTCTGTAGTAGCGTCCTTGCTCCCAGGGAATTGGAGACCTATGGGCCTATGGGACCATTTTACAATGTTCCTGAAGGATCTTTTGGCCTCGCTGATGCCACAGCCCTGCGCAGCCCTCCACAGCCCTGCCTGCTTCACACTCGATTGCATGGCACAAGCCAGGCTCGCGGCACCTATGCCAGGAATGATCTGCATTTCTTCGAGAATTCTACAATGGGAGTAGGTTGGAGGTAGGTTGGAGGCCATCGCTAGCGATATCCATTGAAGTGGAAAGGGGCATTGAATATGGACAAACAAAATAGATAACATATTGAGGATATCCCACCCCTGCTTATTGCAACTGGGCCTGAAAGGCCCTGAAGTTTTTTGGCTTTGACAGCAACACTCACTCCTACCGAACAACAACAAGAAATAAGACATCCTTTGATAGCAAGAACAATCATATAATCATATTATAATTATGTCATACAACAAGAATAACACATCCCCCCTTTGACACATCCCCTTCCAAATTGGCCGTTTTGGGCCCAGGCACTTGGTGCACTTGGCTCTTGGCAGGTCCGGGCAGCTTTCTTCGCAGCCGTTCGCCGCATTGCCATCCGCGTCGAAGGCGGAGTTCTCGCATTCCAAGGCTGTGCACAAGGTGGGACTACTGCAGCTGGTGCCTCGCAAAAAACGATGTTAGGAGCTTTCAATCTTGTTACGTTCGTAGCTAGCAACAAGTGCATCGCTACTAGTAACAGGTGCATCGCTAGTAGTAACAATGTTTGCTATTAGAATTAAAATTAGTAGCGCCTTTGTTCCTATTAGTAATGCCAGGAGCTACTAGGAGCGTCCTTGCCTCCTAGTAGCGATGCCCTTTGTTACACGTTTCCAAGCTGTTCAACTCGTCATGGAAACACTTGGAGCGACATGCACATACTACAGTAACAAGAGGCTACTAGGAACAAGTGCATCGCTTCTAGTAACAAGTGCCTTACTAGTAGTAACAATCGTAGCTATCGTAGTACCAATGCCAGGAGCCCCTAATAGCTTCTTGCTCCTAGTAGCGTGGCACCTGTTACTAGTAGCGTGGCACTTGTTTCTCGGATCAAAAGAGACTTCTCTGAGTGTCCACGCATTTACCTCCAGGAATTTCAGGGCAGCCAGCCTCGCAGCCATTGTAAACCTGAAGCGCGACTGCAGCGTCAGCTCACAACGAAGGATGCAATGCTTATTGAGGCATCATTGTTCAGGACATTCCCTTTTCTCGGGAATGGGGTTGAACAAAAGAGAAGACAAGGCAAATGGACCAGGAAGAGGTAAGTAAAACACAAGCCAAAACCACTGCTGTTGGCTTACATTGTGTCAGACTGTCAGACTAAGAACCAAAAAAGCTGAGGTGTATCGTGCTGGAGGACGCACCACCTTCCCTCCAATCAAAAGATACTACTCTGACACCAGCGACAGCAATGTCATTCTGATGCTGGACAGTACTGTCAGCATGCGCCAAGGACGAAAAGCCAAAAGGCCGACAAAGGACAAAGGTCAGACGCATCCGCAAAGCACAAAACAAGCCCTGCAAAAATCGATCGCAACAAAACGACAACGCAAACAGTTGGAGGTGTCCATCTGCGTCCAAGCCACATACCCATCAGCATCAAAGAAGTTTGGCTCGCACTCCAGGTCCGTGCCTCGACACAAGCTGCAAGTAGCTGTCGTAGTACCAATGCCAGGAGCCCCATTCGTAGCGTCCTTGCTCCTAGTAGCGTGGCACCTGTTACTAGTAGCGTGGCACTTGTTCCTAGTAGCTTCTTGCTCCTAGTAGTGAGGCCAGGAGCCCCTAGTAGCGTCCTTGCTCCTAGTAGGATTTGCAGCACAGCGAGGAAGCTACAAATGGCATCTGCACGCAGCAAAGCGAGCGTTCCATAAAAATTGTTCGTTACCCCTGCATTACCCGTGCGTTACCTGTGCGCAACAACACGTTTTTTAAATGAAGCAGGCAATTTGAGGTTGCTAAACTGGCAAGACCTTCAGGATGAGCTACTACTTACCTATATATGCAGCCTTAGGACCCGTTTTAGTTCCAGTCTTGGGTTTCACTACGCTTTCAACCAGAACGCTTTCTTGCCTGTGGGATGCTTAGGGTCTTCCAGGTTTGACTGAAGTGACTTTTGCGTGTCTCTGGAGTTCTTTCCAAAGGGCACATCAAGAAGCTATAAATATATATATATATCAGAAGCTACTAGGAACAAGTGCCACGCTACTAGTAACAGGTGCCACACTACTAGGAGCAAGAAGCTACTAGGGGCTCCTGGCCTTACTAGAAACAAGAAGCTCGACAGGTCATCTCAGCATCCGACAGGTCAACACATCAAGGCAGTCTGTGCAGTTCGCATGTGGCAAACTTGGACAGGAGCCTTCACAGCCATTGAAGGATCGACCTTGCAGACTAGCAAAGGACGCTAGTTCGGGGCTCCTGGCATCGCTACTAGGAGCAATGTTTGCTACTAGGAGCAATGGGCATCGCTACTAGGGGCTCGTGGCCTTGCTACTAGGAACAAGAAGCTATTAGAAACAACTGCATCGCGTCTAGTAACAAGTGCCTTACTGGTAGTAACAAGAAGCTACTAGGAGCAAAGGGCATCGCTACTAGGAGCAAAGGATGCTACTAGGGGCTCCTGGCATCGCTACTAGGAACAAGGACGCTACTAGGAGCGACCCGAATAGGAAAGGATCGACCTTGCAGACTAGCACCATGCGCCCTTTGCTCCGTTCGTAGCGTCCGATCTTGTTCCTAGTAGTAAGGCCAGGAGCGCCCCTAGTAGCGTTGGATCGCTCCTAGTAGCGATGCCCTTTGTTAGTGGTAGCGTTCTTGTTCCTAGTTTGTTTTTTGAAAGAATGACTTGGCAAATGGTTCCTTCAAGAGTTCTACGCTTCATTTCACAAGAGCTCACAAGAGTTTGCGAATGCTTCGCTTGGCCCTGCACCATCCAAATCAAAGAACCCTTTTGAACAGCTGTAAGTCTTACAGCTGTCCCATGTGTTGCATGCCGAACCTCAGTGCCCACATCGCTCTGTTGCTGTCATATTGCTACAATGTCTTCTTCTCATCTGTGCCTTCACTCATCTTCACTCATCACCAGTGAAATGCTTTAAAACAAAGCTAGTAGTAACAGGTGCCACGCTAGTAGTAACAGGTGCCTTACTAGTAGTAACAAGAAGCTATTAGAAACAAGTGCCTCTTGTTACTACTAGTAAGGCACCTGTTACTACTAGCGTGGCACTTGTTACTACTAGCGTGCCTTCACTCATCTTCACTCATCACAAGTGAAATGCTTTAAAACACTCTATGACAATCAATAGCGATGTCCTCCACGCAACCTACTAGCGATGGCCTCCATGCAACGTACCAGTGATGGCCGCCATGCAACCTACTAGCAACCATCTCTGACTTCACTCATCTTCAATCATTTGCCCAAGGAACAATACGCATTTGGAAGTGCTTGACAGCCACTTTCACATCCGTTTGACGCATCCCCATCCAGATTGAAGAAACTGGGCCTTCAGACGTCAGCGTCTTCCCAAAGACTCATATCTTTTTCTCACTCTATCATAGTAGGAAGTAAATTACTTTTCTTGTTACTCATAGCTTCTTGCTCCTAGTAGCGATGCCCTTGTTCCTAGTAGCGTTCTTGCTCCTAGTAGTAAGGCCAGGAGCCCCGAACGTAGCGTCCTTGCTCCTGGTAGCGTGGCACTTGTTACTAGTAGCGTTCTTGCTCCTAGTAGCGTGGCACTTGTTACTACTAGTAAGGCACCTGTTACTACTAGCGTGGCACTTGTTCCTGTGCAACGACCGGTCTAGAGCTCTGGATATCAACTTCAACTTCGTCCTGCAGCTGACGGAAGTACACGTAGAGGCGCTGCTGCAGCCAAGGCAATCACCTAACTTCGCCACAAATCGACTAAGTAGACCTAGCGATGGCCTCCAACCTACTCCTTATGGCATTGTGTCCTGCAATTACACTACTCACCGACATCTCTTTCCCGTTCTTGAACATATAGGTCCAGACTTAGAAACCACCACTCCTCGGTGCAGAATATACTAGCCACCTTGATAGCAATACTCCGAATCAATACCTTTGAAATACCCTTACTCTCTGAAGTGCCTTGGGTCCTGAAAATGACTACCAGCTCTCTTAGATTTCCGTCCGCCTCAATTCATGACACTAAAGATACGATGATAGCTCCAAGAAGCCGTTGGGAACTTCCGGGCAATGCACTTCGCAGCCATTCATGGCATCATGATCCAGATTGAACCAGTTTTCATCACAGTGCACCGCGCTGCAGTCTGAAGATCCTCACAACAAGCTCACGAGGAGCAATAGAAAGCAAGTAGTGCTTGAACTAGAATATACCTTCGTTTCTTTTCTAATAGCGGTGGCCTCCAACCTACTAGCCATGGCCTTCCTCCCACTTTGAGGAGCTGATTCTATTGTTTCTAATTGCAAACATTGTTACTACTAGTAAGGCACCTGTTACTAGTAGCGATGCACTTGTTCCTAGTAGCGAACTTGTCGGTCCTGTGCACCGCGCACAAGTTCCATGCGCAACTGCCGGACATGTCACTTCGCAGCCATTCGCCGCCAAGCCATCTGAGTTGGATCGACCTGCCGGGTTTTGGGCACCTAAGGCCACTTGGGTCTTGAAAAGGAAAGAAAGCTAAACAGATAAATATCGGGAAGAAAGCTCTAAGGAAAAGATGTAAAGAAAGAAAGGAGACAAAGTATGTAGAGTACTAGAAGTTCTTTCTAGAAAGGAGTGAAAGCAAAGCAACAGATTTGTTCATCCACACCGGACTTTGAGACAACGGTTTGATTGTCAAAGGCCGTGCCCTGAAGCGCTCTGATTGTCTTCCTCTCTTTTTCCTGTTCCTAGAAGCAAGAATGCTCCTGGTAGCGATGCCAGGAGCCCCTAGTAGCGTCCTTTGCTCCTAGAAATTAGCGATGCCAGGAGCCCCTGTAGCTTCTTCTTCCTAGTAGCTTCTTTTTGGATGTTTCTTTTTAGGTGTTGCTGTTGTCAACACCACTCCGCCTAAGTCGCACTGCACCGCCGTGCATGTGGAGGAGTCGCCGCAGGCCGTGCAGGAGCCTCCCTCCACAGTAGGGCAAAGGACCTACACAAGCGATGCACAGCTCCAGAACTTCTTGATCCTAAGAGCGGTGGCCTCCAACCGAGAAGCAATGGCCTCCAACCTAATAGCAATGGCCTCCTCTCCAGAACTTCTAAATAAGAACGTTCAAAGGAGTCAGAAATAACAGTCGAGGATTTACAGAAAACAAGCTGGGCTGCAAGTTGCCTCGCAGCCAGTATCGATTTTCCTGTCTGCATCATAGTAGTTCCTGTGGCACTTCATGCGATCACAGGTGTTGGCCTCACCGAAGACAACAATTCAATAAAGATGAAGAGAATGTCCAACAAAGGTTCAATGCGAAGCCCACAAATGGATACATGATCACGTTGCTAGTGTCTTGAATTTTTCAAGCACGACAGTTAAACTGTTAAACGTCTGAATGGCAAAAGCACGTCTAAAAGGCGTCTTCAATTTTGTCAACGAACCTTTCTGCTAGATCTGCGCTACCAGATCGTGCTATTTCTGGTGCCACTGCTTGTCACTGCGTGTCACTGAGTGCTGCGTACCTTGCTACAGCCCGCGCAGTCGGCATTCTCCGGTGCCCAGCAGCTCTCCTCACAGCCGTTAGTGGCGTTGCCGTCCATGTCGAAGCCTCAGGAATTATGTGGTGTGGTTTCATAGTAGCGTCCTTGCTCCCAGTAGCGATGCCAGGAGCCCCTAGTAGCTTCTTGTTCCTAGTAGTAAGGCCAGGAGCCCCTAGTAGCGTCCAAATTAAAGATGTCAAAAGAGGGAAAGAAACATGAAGTGTGTTTGCTAGTAGGTTGGAAGCCATCGCTAGTAGGTTGGAGACCATCGCTATTGGGTCAGAGGCCATTGCTCTGCATGAATTGTCTGAAGTTCAAAAATCAAATGCCATAACTTGGCCAAGTTGATCATCAAATATCATCTTCGTCTGGCTCTCGCATTCTACAAGCTGCTGCAACCACGCATACACACTCGCACAAAATATGAAGTCAATGAGGAGGGGATCAAACGGATGGTGATTTGACATGTCTCTGGAAACAAAGGGGCTTAAGAACGCAAACAAATTGTTCAAAACCAATAAACCTGCCAATGTTCATCGTCCAGCAAGCTTGCAGAGAGATGTCTATTGTAAAGGTTTGACCAAAAGGATGCTTTGCACCCTGTTCAAATTGTTTTCGTTTATTCGGGATGTTCGGTTAGAGCCGGATTCGGAAACTAATCGGTCGGATTCTGAAACTAGGGTTCTAAAACTGGGGTTCTGAAACTAGGGTTCTGAAACTTGGATTCTGAAACTGGTATTCTGAAACTGGTGTTCTGAAACTAGGATTCTGAAACTGGGGTTCTGAAACTAGGATTCTGAAACTGGGATTCTGAAACTTGTATTCTGAAACTGGAAAGTCAGATTCTGCAACTGGTATTCTGAAACTGGAAAGTCAGATTCTGCAACTTGCCTTCTGAAACTTGCAACTGGTGATCTCCACATCATGCGGTAGCGTGTGTGCCTGTGACATCACCTTCGAAGCACATCCAAACAAACGTCATTAGCCCCCCACCCAACCCCCTCACCCCCAACCCCCCCTTGTCCCCATCGTGTGATCTCGACATCCCTCATCATTCACAAAGTTGCGGAATCCTAGTGAGGGAGTCCACAATGTTGCGGAATCCTAGTTGCGGAACGCCAGTTGCGGAATCCCAGTTGCAGAATCCTAGTTGCGGAATCTTGACAGTTGCGGAATCCTAGTTTCGGAATCCTAGTTGCGGAATCCTAGTTGCGGAATTCTAGTTGCGGAATCCTAGTTGCGGAATCCTAGTTTCGGAATCCCAGTTGCGGAATCCCAGTTGCGGAATCCGACCAAACAGTGGCGGAATCCTAGTTGCGGAATCCTGCGCAGTTGCGGAACTCGACTTTATCCCGGGATGTTCCATCTTCCTTCCTTCCTTCCTTCTTTCTGTCCTTCTTTCCTTCTTTCTGTCTTTCTTTCAGGTTGGAGGCCATCGGTAGTAGGATTTCTATGTTAAAGAACACCGGAAAGATGACATTCTCATCTGCTGAGAGGCTATTGTTGTGGCACTTCACCGCTTTGCAATTGTCGATCGCTGTGCAGGACGTACAAACCCCTCCGGTGACATTCCTCGCAGCGATTGGAGTGTGAAAGGGTCATTGTATATCTGTTCCTATTTCAGAACATGCCAATTTGGAATTGGACCAAACAATTCCGCATTGACTTACCAGCAAGGTTTTAAAGAGCTGCATATCAGCTTTCTATTGTGTCTTCATTGCTTGTCAGTGCCTATTCCCTGTTCTGCGGTCCCAAGCTCATGCAACTGCCCTCACAACCATTGGAATTGTTTCCGTCAAAGTTGAAGGTGTTCGGCGGGCATGATGTCAGCTTGTCGCAGACTTTAGGGTCGCTGCACTCCAAGCACATCCCCCACAAGACTCTCCTCAGATCGTCAAGCTAGCAGCTGACGCAGGCCATTTTGCGATGTCTGCGATGTCTGTTTGTTCACATTCAACTCGAAGCGCAAGATCTCACAGTCCAATTGCAAGCACAGTTGCGGACATGAGGTTTCACAGCCGTTGTCCATAGCCCCATCAACATCAAAGTAGTTGCCTTTTTCGAAGGAAACCGCGGGAATACGTCCGTGCAAAGCGACCATCTTGATGCGACAGGAAGCGTTGTCTGGCCGGCTTGGCGTTCGACTAATGGAAAACGAAAACACGAACAGGAATACAGTATGCAAATAATACATATACATATACATATAATAATACGTATGTAAAATAAAGCAAATTTCTTTTTACATAAAGTGTTCTCAACTTTGGTTTCGATTTACGTTTGACTGGCACAGGGCATCCAAGGAGCGGTGGCATTCCAATTTGCCACACACTTCCGGGCTATCACACTCAATGCAGGTGCCTCACATAAGAACAAAATGAAAGAAAAGATCTAAAGGCTCCAAAAATAGGAGAAAAAACAAGGTTTGCACTAGGGGCTCCTGGCATCGCTACTAGGAACACACATGTTGAGTTGGAATGTGCGCTACGCTTCGAACCTCGAGGAACTTCTGGGCACGTCTCCTTGTAGCGCGAGCCCACAGAAACGCCGTGTTCTTTGTGTATTTGTTTGCCGGAGGCCCCGCCTCCCTACTAAATCAAGCAAGAGAAACCCGTTCCCGACTAGGCTAAGTTAGTTTCTAGTCACTGGATTGCAGGATAGCTCAGGCTCGCACTGATTTGGGTTCCTAGATGTTTAGGAAAACTTAACTAGTAGCTTCTTGCTCCTAGTAGGAATGCCAGGAGCCCCTAGTAGCTTCTTGTTCTACGTTTGTTTCTCGTTAAAAGAATGACAGCACATCGTCCAATGCCCGTCCTCACAGCCGTTGGAAATATTACCATCCTCATTGAACCAGCCCTTCTCGCCTGGGAATGGGAATAGACAAACGGCATATAACGAAAGAAAGTTCTATGAAGAACCCAAGTGTGAAATAACAATGAACATGTGAACAATCATTGTAGGAGCGATCGGACGCTACTAGGGGCTCCTGGCCTTATTACTAGTAACAAGAGGACGCTACTAGGAGCAAAGAGCATCGCTACTAGGAGCAAGGGCCTTACTACTAGGAACAAGAAGCTACTAAGTTTAATTCTAATAGCTTCTTGTTACTACTAGCGATGCACCTGTTACTACTAGCGATGCACCTGTTA